TATATATATATATATTAGGGAAGGGTCTACAAGGTGTTCGGGGTCTTACTACTAGATCGGACTCGTAGTGATCTGAATGTCTACAGCCTCCTAAGAGCTGGGATTATAGGCGTGTGCAGGCACGGCAGGCCCAGGGATCAAACCCTCGGCCCCTGCACCTTCTTGCAGGTGCTTTAATCCACTGAGCTGTTTGGCCAGCCCCTTCTTTTTGCAATTTTTAAAGCAGTTCGTTCAACCTTCTGCAATCTTTTGGAATACAGCGCTGTTTCACAGAGACTCTGGTTCTCCTTGAGTCCCTGCCATACCCTGAAGATGTCACAATGCCCACATGGCTGGTTGTGAGAAAGCTGCACCCATGAGACTCACGGGTTGAAACCACCTTCTCAGGCCATCTTCGGCTCCGGGGGTCGCTGAGGTAAGCAGGCTCTAGGCTGTGAGGGCTCAGCCCGCTGCCACCTCGCTGCCTCCCGCCTCCATGCCCGAGCAGCAGCGCTGCAGTGGGGCCCTCCCACACGAAGGCGCAGGCTTCGGCTGGGTTATCATTTTCCTACGCTGTGGGAGATTGCCAGTAACTATGGAGAAGTCTGCATGAAACGGAGATTAGAAACAGATACAATGGAGGGCTGGCCAGATAGCTCGGCGGACTGAAGCGCCGGAGCGCAGCGGCCAGGGTTCGATCCCCAGCATGCTGTGCCAGCCCCGCCCCTGGGGCACACTGAGACAGTGATTGAGACTAGGCCATGTGGTGCACCTGTAATCCCAGCACTGAGGAGGCTGAAAACAGGAGGACCACTCTGAGTCTGATTTACGTAGTGAGACCCTGTAGATCATGTACTAAATTAAAAAAAAAAAATAGATAACAATGGTTGTGAGGCACAGGGAGTAGCTGAGGGGGAGAGTGCTGACTATAGGTACTGGTCCCAGGTTCAAGTCCCAGCTTGAAGGGGAGGAGGAAGAAGAAACCAGGAAGGAAGGAGCAAAATTCAGGCCTTTTGCAACTGGGAGAGGGAGGCAGCTTGAGAAGAAAGCCAAGTGTGGAGCTAACGTGGCTTTACACTTGCTAATCCCAGCACCAAGTGGCACCATTTGAAAACTGTGCCTCACACTGCCCAAGGGGGAGATCGGGAGACCTAAGACTGAGATGCCCACAGCCGCCTCCCCATTTTGCAGGGTTGGTGCCAGGCTGCAGCACAAGGGTGGGGCGTGGTCAGGCCACAGGCACTGGGGCACTGGGCAAGTGTGTGTGGAAGTGGCAGGAGTGGGCACCCAGGAAGGGCAGGAAGGGGCTTGCAGGGAGGGAGGCAATGGTGACGGTGTTGCTCACGGCTGGGCAGTGTAGGAAGCACAGCGAACAGCCATGTGCAGAGCCAGGCCAGAGGCGACCAGGGCGGCAGTGGGTGTGGCACCCACAGGTGTGGCCGGCAGCGAGGGCACCGCAGCAGGCAGCCCTCGGAGTCTCAGCAGGCACTGCTTCCTGCCGCTTCCACCCTAGCTTCTGATTGGAAATGACGCGGACAATTTGCACCTGTCACTGGAAGGCAAACATTTTCTTCTGGCAGAAAAGCAGGTGTTCTAAGGAACTGGCAAGTGTAAAAATAGTTACAAGATTGATAAAAAAGACACGAAAATGACAGCCACCTCACTGGCTCTGCCCAGCAGCACCCAGGGCTGCGTTTCCTGACTGGCACACTGTTGTCTGACCTGTCCCCTGTGCAAGGGCACCAGAGGCACCAAGGGCTCCGTGTGCCACCACCTCACAGGACTGATCCACAACAAGCCTGGCGGCAGCAGTATCCAGTCAATTAGACGGTGGCACTGACAAGTTTTAGAGCATTTAGCACACACGCTAATCTATATTACAATATTCATATAATGCATGTGTCTTATTTTAGAAAGGGCCATAGGGCTGGGCCTGGTGGCCTAGGAACCCAGCACTCTGGAGGCTGAGGTAGGCGTCTGCCTTGAGTTTGAGGCCGACCTGGGCCACACAAAACCCCGCCTCAAGAAGACAAGAAAAGGAGGGGTATATTTTCCAAGTTGAGAAGCATTAGTGAGAAGAGCGTTTCTTTCTTGCAGTTGTGGCAGTATCTTGAACATCTGGTTAAAAAAGCCAGCTGGATCCTCCTCCCGGCTCAGCGTTCAGCCTGCTGCAAGCTGTCTCTCCAGTAAAAACACTGCACCTCTGTGGAATTAAGCGGCTTCTCCAGAAGCCCCAAGTAAGCAGCAAGCAAACAAAAGCCAGCCGATTTGAGAACTGTGTGAAATGAAGCGGCGTAGATAGGAACATTTGTGGAATAAAACTTTGCTTCTTGAGGCAGGGTCTTGCTACGTAGCCCCCACTGACTCTAATGCAAGGTGATCCCCTCCCTCAGCCTCCAGAGTGCTAGGCTTCCAGGTCTTGCTGCCGTGCCCAGCTCACTTTAAAAACAAAATCATTTATTCATTTATATACTAATTTGTTTATTACAGGGTCTCACTACACAGCTCGGACTCCTAGTGATCCTACCGTCTCAACCTCCCTAGCCAAGCTCACTTTTAAACTACACTAAATTCTAGTTATAAAGTCACACATCCTAGCAGTTCATGTATAAAACTGTATTTGAAGTCATAAAATTTAAATTCTGTAAGGCCCAAATCAACTCACCCGATCTGCCAGTCCTCCGGGCACGATCGTCCTCACCACCACTCCGCTCGACTTCCCCCCGACGATCCCAAAGCCCAGCCCTGAGCCGTCATTGGTGAGCTCCACCTCTTCCACGCAGCCCCAGCGCGCCTGTGAGGTGGCAGCCGAGAGAACGGGGTCAGGCGCACACAGAGCCTGGGACCTGACACCGCGGCCGCCGCAAGAGCCAGAGACACATGTGTGCACACGCGCACTGACACACACACACAGGCACAAGTGCACTCAGACACGCACACACGGACACAAGCACATGCGCACAGACACGCACACATGGACACCGGCACAAGCGCACACAGACACACACACACA